AAAAAAAAAAAAAAAAGATTGAGAGCATGTACAGTTTATAACTTCCTTTGCAGCTCTGTGGTCCATACATACTTTTTAATTCCTTTTTTAGCTTTTTATCATTTGTGTTGTTTTGTAGTGCTGTGCATCTAACCCAGGACTGCACACACACCAGACAAGTATTTTACCACTGAGCCACATGCCAGCCCACATTTATTAGTTTTTATTCATATTATCTATAGTCCTGGCCTCCCCTTTCCAACCTCCAGTTCAATTCCTGGAATCTCCCAATAAGCTTACCATTCCAATGAAACCTCTCTCACCAAGGCAACCTGTGACTTACTTGGAATGCCCATGTCCCTCTTCTGTCCTTATCTGGCACAGTGTCTGTGCAAGACAACAGTGTAAAACATAAACAAACTCTTGAAACTACTCCTGGGCCTGTGAAACTCCCTCTCCTGGTTCCTGGTCCGTCTCTTTCACTTTGTATGTGTGCACATGCATGCAGTACCAGGATTCAACCAAGAGCCTTTACTCTAAGCTATAGCCCCCTTTTTAAATTTTCTTATTTTGAAACAGGATCTCATTAAGTCACTAAGTTATCCAGGCTGGCCTCAAACTTGCAATCCTCCTGGCCTCAGCCTCTCAGTCATGGGACTACGGGAATGTGCCACCCAGCCCAACTCATGGTCTCTTCCTTCACTTCTGTATCTTTAAGAGTTCCATTCCCTAGGGCAGCTGTAGCAAACCTATGGCACACTTGCACCTGGCTATTTATCATTGAAAGTTCTAAAAGGTTCGCCATCTCTGCCATAGGGTTATGCCTTTCAGGTGAGTTTACTTATCTATCCTTCAAATTTCACCTGCCATTGAATAATTTCCAGAAGAGCTTACTTAGCTATCCCCAGATTCCAACCACTACCTAATACTGTGATTTCCAAATCTCTACCTTCATCATAGACCTCTCTTCTGAATTTCAAATTTATACATATAGGTTCATACACTTGCAGTATGATTCCACTGTATGACCCCAATGGCACCTCAAAACAACTACCCAATACAGAACTAGGGTCTGTTATATAACTTTTTGGCAACTTACCGGCTTTGTGTGATATCATATACAAAAGAGTGGAACTTTGCAGTGTTGCCCCCATGCTTCATATGGCTCCCTGTCTTTTCTTCAGACTGTTCCAATCTCAAGTGAACCTTCCTGGCCAGGGCTGGTGGCAGAACAGTCTCCCATGTTGTTTATCTTAATACATGGTCTACATGGTACTGCCACACAATGATTCATGCCAAGGACCTATAAGACTCCCTTGACTTCTCCCTGGCCTCGCCATATATAATCAGTTCTTTTTTTTTACCTCCTAAATATCCCCCTAATTCATTACTTCTATGCCTATCTAATAACTTCTAGTTCAGGTTTCAATGGACTACTTCAACAGCTTTCCAACTATTTCCCTGCTTCCTATTTCGTCCCCCTCAATTCCATCTCCACTTTTCAGAACAATCAATCCAAACAGAAGATATAATCACACTATTCCCCTGCTTAACACTTTTCTAAAGATTCTCCCGTTTAAAAGCTCTGGAGTCTGTCACATCTTTGCACTTCTGAACCATTCTCTACATTAAGAGATGGCTCTTGAACAAGTTACTCAGCTTCTCTGCACTTCCATATTTTCTTTTGTGAATGTCTCACAGGATTAAATGACAGAATATCTATAAAGTAGTTCCTGGCACATACTACTAAGTGCTTAACAAGTGATAGTAATGATTATATTAACAGGCTAGCATACAGGTTCATCAAACCCTGTAAGTGCAACTCCTTAAACTAGTCCTTGCTTACCCCTCCAGCCTCCTCTCTGAGAAAACCCTGCCTCTCACATTCTGCCCCAGGAACTCCAAACTAGTTACAGTTACTGTACTGGTCAGCTTTCCCACTGCTGACACCACAACTTAAGAGAGGAGGGGTAGCTGGGTGTAGTGACACATGTCTGTATCCTTAACACTCAGTAAGTTGAGGCAGGAGAATCAATCGAAAGTTCAAGGCCAGCCTTGGCTACATAGCAAGAACCTGTCTCAAAATAAATACCAACAACAAGAAAGAGAGAGAGAGAAAAAAAAGAAAGAAAAATTTAGATTGGCTCACAGTATCAAGATTTCGAAAGATTCCGTCTCCAGTTGCCTGGCTCCAAGACAGGAATGTTGTGGCTGGAGGGTGTAGCAGAGCAAATCTGTGCACTTCCAGTGGCCAGGAAGCAGAGCAGCAGAAAGAGTGCTAGGGAGAGGTATATCTTCCAAAGACACACCCCTAGTGACTCACCTTCAATTGGGCCCGCCTCCAAACAGCACGAGGATCCAATCACCTCTTAATCCGGTCAAGGTGACCATTAAGCTTAATCAGCATGGTTACTTGCCCGGACACATCCTGCCATCTCTCTGCCTAAAATATATACTGCCTCTAAGCCCTCCATAGGCAAGGCCTTATTCTGTAAGCCTCTGGGGTGTCTCCTCCACCAGGAAGCCTTCCTGGAACACGAGACTGTATTAAGATGTCGCCTCAAAGTCTTAGCTCTGTATTCTTGCCATATAAATTCTAAGCTATATATTTCTATCAAAGCTTTTACTATGGTACACTACAAACATCTCCATTTAAATCTGTCTCTCCCAATAGATAACAAATTCTTTGTGGGCATGGACCTTAAATTATTCTTTCTAGCCACCACACTTATTATATAACCTGGCAAGTGGTCAACATACACTTCAAGGATGGAAGGGAAAGTGCCTGAGCGCCTCCTCCCCAATTCCACCTGAGTTAGGTTAATTCTTACCACACGAGTCACACTACAATCTAATTCAACTACTTAGGAAGGAGAAGTCACAGAGAGTGAGGGTACTCACCCCTTGCTCCTTGCTATAATCAAGCTAATGCAGAAGGTAAAACTGATTTCAGAAGTCTTGTGATTCCTAAAAAGTAAGTGTAAACAGTAGAGAATTCACTGAAGGCCCTAGAAACAGTGACAACAGAGAAGCAGGCAGCAAAACAGTTACCCAGTCTTAGAAGAACTGACAACTCTCATTGAGTGATTTTGCAATGTCAAAGGAATTTAATTATCACTGAAGACATGGCACACAATTACTTCAACAATTAACAAAGTATATTTTAATGCTTAGGTAACCAAACATGTAATCCAGGGTGACAGAACAAAAACTCAATGAAAACAATGCAAAGGTGCATAAGATTATTATTGCTACAAAACAACTAAGTATCTAAGAGAATTTCACCAAACCACCAGATACATAAGTGCAAAGGTGGCTTGATGGGGATGTTTTACTGTAGGTCAGGAGATGCCTAAGTAATGGTAGTGCTCATGAAATGAGGTGCTGATGAGCCAAATTAAAGGCTTCAAATAAAACTAATAAAATTAAATTCTCATAATGCAAATTAGCTTATTTTGGAATAAGTTTGTATCAAGGAAACTACAGCAGAGTACTCCACAGGAATTAATATACTGATATGGATCAGTCTCCAAGATATAACAAAAACAATATGCCATACAAGTAGGTAACATTTGTGTTTAAGAACAAACATTAAACGTGTCATATATACATATGATATTTCTGAAAAGATACACAAAAAACTATTATTTTTAGTCTCCCCTACTAGAATAGAAGCTCCATAAAGGCAGACCGTGGTCTCTTTTTGCATTTTTGCATCCCCAAACACTAGCACTGTGCCTGGCATTAAAGAGACACTCAACAAGCATTTGCTGAATAAATTAATGAACCAATAATAACACTGGTTGCCTCCAGAAGGAGGAACTGGATGATCGTGGGGTGAGGGTATCAGACTTAATTTCCACTGTATGGTCTTTTGTATTGTATATTTAAATTTTGAAAATGACAGTTTGGGTTTTTTTGGGTACCGGAGATCGAACTCAGGTCCTTACACTTGCACAGCAGGCAGCGAAACCACTGAGGTAAATTCCCAGCCTTAAAACGACAGTTTTCAAAGTGTAATTACCTTCTCCATTAGATTGTTTTTCATCTCCAGAACTTTAGCAAGGTACTGAAAGCTGGAGCACAAGTAGTAAGCAGTAGGCTTAGTATGAGTAATGGCATGCTGTTAATATAAAGGCTCAAATAAAAATTTAAAAAAACTGCTTAGATTTTTAAATTTTGTTTTTTTGGTTTGTTTTTTGGTTTGGTTTTGTTTTTGGTGCTGGAGATTTAACCTGGAATCTTAGCATGGACCTACCTCCCCAGCCCCTTATTCTTTTTCTTTTTTTTTTTTTTTTTGGTACCAGGGATCAAACTCAGGACCCTGCGCTTGCGAGGCAGGCGGCGGAACCACTGAGTTAAATCCCCAGCCCTCCCCAGCCGCTTTTTCATTTCTTGAGATAGGGTCTCACTAAATCACTGAACTGTCCAAGCTCAAAATTGCAATACTCCTGCCTCAGCCTCCCAGAGTGCTGGAATTATATGTGTGCACCACCACACCCAGCAGTTTAACCACTTTAGAAAACAGCTGCATATTATCTACTACAGTTGAAGATCTGCATAGCATCTGGCTCTGCAATTCTACTGTACATAACCTCTAATAAAGTATTTAATGGGGGCATGTGCAAGACGGTGACAGCTTCTCAGCAGATAAATACAGATCTACAGGAGAGTGTATAGGAACAGGCTGGAAAGGACAGAGGCAGGAGTGGCACTTCTGCAAGAACACCTTTTAACTTTGGGAACCATGTTAATGTTTCACATACTGAAGGAAAATACAAGAAATCAACAAAATCAGAGAGGAGGGGAGCCCAACATAAAATACAAACCATCAAATAAATTGTATGTCAAATGAATACCATGACCACACTGAAAGAAAGGTAAGAGAACTAAACCCTGTAACTTTTAACATAGTAGCTGGACTACAGGCCCTCAGACTAATATTAAAAAGAAACATGGAGCTCTAGTTAATGGGTTTCTTTCTTTCTTTTTTGGTACAGGGGATCGAACTTGGGTCCTCGTCCTTGCACAGCAGGTGGCGAAACCACTGAGCTAAATCCCCGGCCATGGGTTTCTTTTTCACAGAGGTACAGATAAGCAATTCTGAACCTACTGGGTGGTACATTAGAATGCAAATAAGGAAATATGCGGTCAATAAAGGGATCTAGATTCTCAACATTGAAGAAAGGAATATGAGAAGGGAAATGGACAGAATAAACCCTGAAGTGTAGGGCTGGAATTGAAGGAGTCAGTGTGAACTCGTGGTTTTTAATATACACAGAGAAAAAAATATATATATATACACACAGAGATGTTGTTTCTAAACACACATACTTTTCCATTAAGGGTTCCTTGGAGAAATAGCTGATTCCAGGGCAGGGTTAGGGAACATATGAGATGAACCTAGACTATCTTGTGCCAGAAAATAAAGAAATGATCAGAGAATAATGAGAACATGTCAGAAAAATACAGAACCAGCTTGAAAGGTTTCCATTGGTCAAATCTAGGAAAATGTGAGGTTAAAAATGATAGTAAAGAATTATAACTCACTGAACAATATATGACCCATGAGATCATTGAGATATTAAGAAACTAATCAATTTATTAATGAGGGAAGCCAAGTACCAGTTCTGGAACTTCCAAAACTCTGAGCCAAAATAAACCTTTTTTCTTTTCAAGTTGATTTATCTCAGATATTTCGTACAGCAACAGAAAGCTGGTGAACACAATCCAATATGAGTATACTTCCCAAATCAAGAAAACAAGGATGGACAACCAGCATATTTTTGTGTCTCATATTGTGATGCAAAAGACAGCCCAGGAAGTTAATGTGGACTTATGACTTGTTATAATTTTTAAAACATTACAATGGCTTATCAGTTGAAATTTAAAAAGAACATTTAGCCACTCAATAAAGATAAGTACCTATAAGTACATACCTAGTCTGTCATCAATATTTATACCTATCATATTCTTTGTAGCACTCCAAATATGTTTTCTCTTCTACCAAATTAAAAATACAGTATGATTGCAAAAAAAAAATCCATACATCTCTTTATTTTTTGCAGTCCCTTGCATACATCAGGTTGAATGAATTCAACTTCAAGTCTTCGACATCTGTTCTTATCTGCATAATCTTTTTGGGGGGGTACCAGGGATCGAACTTGGAACCTTGCACTTTCGAGGTAGGCAGCGGCACCACTGAGCTAAATCCCCGGCCCCTGCATAATCTTAAAATTATAAAAGTCAGCATCTTTTACCTGACAATATCACAGGTACACTTATTTCCCCTAAAGCCACTCTTAGGTGCCCAGAGAAATTGTCATTTATCCATGCCCTGCACTTCATACAATTTCTATGGAAAGAGTGAATACTTTATTATGGTTTAGATCTAAAATGTTCCCCAAAGTCATATTCAGATGTGGGGCCTGCTCAGAGGGGGCAAGTCATTGGGTTTGTGACCAGAAAGGTTGTATTCTTGTCCCCAGCTCCTCCCTTTCCTCTTGGCTTCCTGGCTGGCATGGATTGAGCAGCTTTCCTCTACCATGTCCTTCCACCATGCCATTTCGGCTTCAGAGCCAGCTGACCAAAAACTGAGTCCCCCAAAACCATGACCCAAATTAAACATCTCCTTTAAGTTGTAGGTGTCAGGTATTTTGTCTCAGTGACAGAACAATGAGTAATACAGAAAACTGGTGCCAAAAGTAGGGTTGTCGCTGTGATTACACATGACCGTGTAGTTCAGAAGCCTTCAGAAATGGTTTCCTGGAAGAGTTTGGAAAAACTTGGAGATATGGGCTAGGGAAGCCTTAGAATGCTGTAAGCAGAGCCTGATGGCAATTCTGGTCAGAGCTCAGAAGACCAGAATACTGGCAGAAAGGCAGACAGTAAAGGTTCATGATGTTTCAGAGAGATCAAGGACAGTACTGGAAACTGGACTAGAGGTCATGTGCATTTCATTCTGGCAAAGAAATTGTCTATGTTTTGTTCATTTCCTAAGACTTGATGTGAGGCTAAATTTACAGGTGATGGACTAATTAAGCTGGGGGAAGATATTTTAAGGGAGCCCAATGGACACTGCTGGCTGCTTTTAGCCAGAAGTACAGAGAGAATGAGGAGCAAAAAGCAAAAACAAAAGGTATAAAAAAGTTTCCAGTTTCACCAGAAAGAAAGTACCTACAAAGTTGAGGTCAAGAAAATCATGGTTGGCCAGGGATTTAGCTCAGTGGTTTTGCCGCCTGCTTCGCAAGCGCAAGGACCCGAGTTCGATCCCCAGTACCAAAAAAAAAAAAAAAGAAAAAGAAAAAGAAAAGCACGATTGCTG